ACTCACCTCAGCCTCCCAAGGCGCGGGATTACAGGCTGAGCCACCGAGCCCGGCTGACAGGCCATTTTTAAAGGACCACTGTGGTATGGAGAAATGAAGGGATAAGCACATGAATAAATGGGTAGACCAGTGGAAAAAAGGAGGGGAGAAAGGAAGGAAGGCAGACAGGCTGGGTGGGGAGGTGAGTAGGTGGGTGGGTGGGTGGATGACTGGGTGGCTGGAGTCCCATGGACGCCCTTAGGCTGTCTGCTGACCAGAGGTGAGAGCACAGGTAGCTCATAAAATGATAAAATACATCCAGTGTATGTCACAATGCAGTTCCCAAATACATTACAAGCCAGCTCCCTCAGTGGACCCCAGACTACCACATTTCCTCGTGAAAAACATCTCTACGGCGGAATTTGAATCCAAAAGCTCAACAAGCAAGCCAGGCCTTCACCGCAAGGAACCCACGCGGAGAAGGCCGCTGGATGTGAACCGCGAGAGTCCAGAAGAAATGCCTCGCCTTCGGGGGATCAACTCCCAACTCCCGCAGAACACACTGTCACACGCTGCCCCCGCCACCACCTGGAATCCCCCAGGCAGAGGGTAAGACTCCCTCCAGGCCTTGGACAAGAAGATCTGGCTTTCCCCGCAGGAAGAAGAAAGCCCAGAGCAAAGCCTAGGCTCCCCCCAGGGTGGCACGGATCGCAGAAGTCCAGCTCCGCGGGGCCACGCCCCCCGAGACCCTGGTGCTCTGCCAGACCCACCTCCACGTCCTTCTCAAGCTCCAGCCCGGCCTCCACCAGGCGGTGCTCGAACTCCTCGCGCTGCTCCTTCCTCTCCTCCTCCAAGGCGTCGAGCGGCCCCAGCTCGATGGCCCCCAGGCCCCCCACGCTGGGCTCCTTGCCCGTCTCTCCGTTGGAGACGACAGCCAGCGACTGGCCCGGGGAGCCATGGCCCGGGTGCGCCCCGCGTTTCCGGTAGTGGTAGGCGAGCACGTAGTCGACCTTCCTCTGGTTGTCGCGGAAGTGCATGCGGCTCAGACGGGCCTCTGAGGACACGTGCTCGGTGGCGTCCAGGTAGTTGTTGATGACCTGGCGGGAGAGAACAGGAGGGGAAGGGTGGGACTCTGGAGTCAGGGGTGGGAGACAGAGGAGCCTGGCCTGTGCTCTGGGCCCAGGGAGGTGGACTAGGAAGCACGCCCCTCAGGCCCAGGGCGAGGGCAGAGCGGCCGAGTTTGTCGGTCACGCCAGCCCAACCCAGCCCTCCAGCCCTACAGGGTGGGCATCAGGGCCTTCCCACATGCTCCGGCATCCATGACACACGTACTCTCCCACGCACAACCGCCGCCTGGCTCCACCAAGAAGCACGGGCGCACGCCTGCAGGTGCACGTGCACAAGCACTTGCCCACGCACACACAGTCTCTCCCTCATCCCCGCTCCGGCACGCCTGCACACACGTGAAGGCGTCTGTGCACACATGTGTCTGCCCGAGGGCGCACACCACCCGCCACGTGCTCCCCACACGCAGAGCTTCACCTCTCCTGCAGACGCCACAGAGTCCCACCCAGAGATACTCACTGGCAGGTGATCCATGGGACCAAAGGCCGACGGCTAGGGGCCGGGCCGCACCCCGCCTCCCACCTGCAGGAGTTCACTGGACACTATTCACCGCCACGCACGTCACCCTCAGCCTCCTCCACTCCAGCCCTGGTGGGGACCCTGCCCGAGACGGCGCAGGGGGATCCGACTCCGGCTCTCTTCCACCCCAGCGGTAGGGAGGTGAGCAGAGGAGGGGCAGAGAGAGCCAGGCGGAGCGGGGAGGGGCCCACCTCCCTCCCTCTGGGTGTTCCCTGTTTATGGCTGCGTGAAACCCAGCTGCCTTCGCAGCCACCTGAGAGGTCACCTGGGCAACCAGAGAAGTGCCAGGCACAGGGGAGAGCCTCGGAGCCACCACAGCGGTGGAGATGGTTTCTCAGGCCTGTGGGAAGGGACCGGGAGGGGGGCAGACGGACCCACAGATGGCGTCACCTGCCTCTCGCACCTTCTCCGGCCCCCACCCCCTCTGGCCAGAAGCACCCATGTGCTGGGAACTTGTGTCTGACTCGGAAAGGGGGGAGGGAAAGGCCCCATCAAGCCCAAGACCTCTCGCACGTACACACATGCCGGAGGGTCTCCCAGTGGAGAGGCTCCCGTGGGACTTGCAGCAGGGCCAGCCTGACCCGCCCCCCATACTCACAGCGCTGCTGGGGGCATGCTCTCCGGCGGAGGGCTGGCCAGACGCTCGGCTGCAACTGCCCCTTGGACCCGGAGCCCGGGGGCCTGGCACCTTGAGATACTGTTGTCCACCTTTGGGGCCCTGGCCCCTTCGGGCCACTGCCCGAGAACTCAGCCGGCGTGGAGAGCCAGGGAGCAGGGGGATGTCTGTGAGAGGGAAAACAACTTCAGATGAGGAAAAACGAGGTCCAGGGAAACCGAGGCACTGGAGAGGAAAGCCTAAGCGACCTCAAGAAAATGGCCCATATCGCCTCACAGCTGCCTCCCCGGTCAGTCCTTACAGCCTCGGTGGGCCAAGTCCGTATTAGCCACAGGGGAGGGGAGCGTGCAGAAGGAGGTGGGACCCCTCCCACGACACGCACAGGGTGGGGGAGGGGCCTGGAGCCACCGACGGGCGCGCCTTCAGATCTCGGCTGCCACAATCTCTCATAATTCCCAGACGTGAGGAGGCGGAGGCAGCCAGCTAGCCGGTGGGTGGGACCCGGCCTGCAGAGACAGCTTGAATTAATGGCAAAGGCTTAGGCTCTGTGGTCTCTCCCACAGCAGCAAGACCCGGGAGAGCGCAAGAACAGACCACAGGGGCCCGATGAACAGGGGCTGTCCTCCAGGGTCCTCGAGGGGGACCTCACGCCCCCGCCGTCTCCACCGAGGCCCCAGACTCCACAGCCCTTCTCAGCAAGCGGGCAGGGCTGATTCAGAAACCTCTGGCCTCATCCCGGAGGGAACGACCCCAGCAGGTGATGGAAACGTCCAGTGTCAGAGCTGGAGGGAACAGCAGACGGATGCGCCAGCTCCGCCCTGCACGGGGGAGGCCACCGAGCCCCAGACGGGGGTCATGCCTCACGGGGCTGGTGGGGCCCGGCGGGTCGCGTGTTTCCCCTGAGAAATGCTCTTCCCAGCAGAACAGCACAGCCGGGGCCTTGAACCCCGGCCAGGCCACTTGCTCTGTGACCCCTCTGAGCCTGCTTCTTCGACTGGGAAACAAAGAGCCTCGAGCCTGCGGGATGGCCGTGAGACGGAGAACCCGCGACAAGGCACGCAGGGCGCCCACAGCCGTGACCAGCCCACGGGGGAGCAGTCACAGGCAGCGGCTAGAATTCTGATTCTTTGCGGCTTTACTCCGCGTGAGCCGAGATGACCCCTTACACCTCCAGCTCAGCCCTAAGCCGCCCGCGGAATGAAGGAAGGAAGGAAGGAAAAAAGGCCCCTCTTCCGGGCTTCTCAAAGCAGAGCTTCTAGCCGGCTACCAAGTTGTGCTGCAGTCCCTTCGGGTGCTCAGCGCCCAGGGAAACCGTTTCAGGGGCCTAGGACATTCTGGGGCCTAGAACTTGGTAACAGCTCTCTCTTAAGCTAGAACTGACATGCAGAAAACACCATCATGACTGGCGGCGTAGAGCTTTCAAAATGTATTTCTTTTCGTCTTTTTTTGTTGTTGAGTCAGTTCTCACTCTGTCACCCAGGCTAGAGAGCAATGACGTGATCACGGTTCATGGCAGCCTCGACCTCCTGGGCTCAGCCTCCCGGGTAGCTGGGATGACGTGTGTGTGTCACCACAGCTGGCTAATTTTTTTGATTCTTTTGGAAAGACAGGGTCTCACTATGTTGCCCAGGCTGGTCTCAAACTCCCGGGCTCAAGGAAGCCTCTCACCTCAGCGTCCCAAAGTGCTGGGATTATCGGTGGGAACAATTGCACCCAGCATTCATAATTTATTTCTATATTGTCTCCAGCCTACATCATGGAGACCAGAAAGGCTAAGATGCCAAAGCAGGCTTCCGGAGAAATTGAGCCAAAGCTGGGTCCTGGCGGGTGGGTAGCTTCTGAAAAGCCGGGAGAGAGTCCCCAGGGACTCTGGGGGGTTCCTTCCTTGGTGCCCAAACCTTCTGCTTGCCTGCTCCCAACTAGGCCAGGGCAGACTCGGAACAGAAGGACTGGACCCCAGAAAAGGCCTCTGAATCTCTAGATGCATGTCTAAAAAGCCCAGGATGGCCTGGACACGTCACAGCAGCAGGTGACAGAGATAAGGCTCACTCAAGGGCCACCCTTCCTGGCTGCTGTATTCGAATTCGCAGCTACAATGCTGGAAAGCTCAGGTGCAGTCCAATCACTGTCCAGGAGCCACCACCCCTGACTGGTGCCACCTGGGGCTTGAGGCTGGTCTCCAGGACCCCGGCCACCCCGGCTGCTCTCTCTCCTCACTCCCTGACCCACCGATCCGGCTCCCCAGGGGCTTTGCTCTCCTGCCCCCACATCCCTCCCCACAGAGCACGGCACATGGTGTGGCCATCCCAGCCCTAGAGGCACGCCAGGCAATGTTGACGCTAACGTGGAGAGACACAAGAGAGCCCGCTTCAGACACGGAATGAAGGCCGAGGCGACGTGAGTGGGGCCTGCCGCCAGGAAGGGCGGGGCGCACGCCTGCAGAACTCCCTAAGAAGCTTAGCAGAGGGGAATTGAGGTCAATGAGAAGGAAAGGCATCGGACACAGCCCGTGGGATCTGTCACCCACTTGGAAACAGTCCTTCCTTCACTGTCCCCTTGGCTCTCGGCGCACGCAGCCTGGAGCCAGAGGTCCCTGGCGTCCGTGACCACGGCATCCTGAGGGTGGGGGATATGGCTCACCCATCTCTGGAGCATCAGGTGGATTTTCCCAGGGCGCAGGCCTGGGGCCTTTCTCCACACTCCAGCCCTTGTCCTGGGCACTCTCGTCCACCCTGAGACTTTCGCGGTCACTTGCCACTGGGGGTGTCCCGGTGCATTCCGCAGTTGAGCACGAACGGCCAGGGAAGCATTTTGTAAGGGCCCGGGCAGCCTTGGGGGAACCACAGGGGAAGCAGACAGACCTGTCTGGAGGGCTCTCAGTCCTTCCAGGTAAGGAGGCTGAGAGCTGGCACCAGGGTGGGACTCATGGAGCGGGGCACGGGCAGACGCCCCCCACTCCCCTGTAAGCGCAGACACATGCCTCCCCCTGCCTGCAGGTGTCAGAGCCCCAAAGCCAAGCCCCAAGGCCAAGCTCGTGCTCTCCATACCGGGATTCTTTTTTGGTGCTTGTCCCTAGGGATGCGCCATCTCACACTCAGTCTACAAGCCAGGAATCTAGAAGTGGTTTTGCTTTCGGGGTTTTTTTTTTTTAAGTCAGAGTCTCACCCTGCTGCCCAGGCTGGAATGCAGTGGCATGATCACAGCAATCACAGCTCATGGCAGCCTTGACCTCCTGGGCTCAGGCCTCAGCACCCAAAGTAGCTGGAACTGCAGGCACACGCCACCACACTTAGCTAGCTTTTTTGTTGCAGAAATGAGGCTTCGCTATGTTGCCCAGACTGGTCTTGAACTCCTGGGCTCCAGCATTCCACCTGCCTTGGCCTCCCAAAGTGTTGCGATTGCAGGTGTGAGCCACTACACCCGGCCAGGAACCTAGGAGCAGTCTTGATGGCCTTTTCCCCTCATATTCTGCATCCAATCAGGCACCAATCCTTCAAATTTTACCCCGAAACATCCATCCAACCCACCTGTGCATCACCCCCTCCACGAGTCCATCTAGCCAAGACACACTCAAGTGCAGAATACATTGGGGCTTCCCTTGCCCTTGGGCTGAGACCCAGCACTCTACTCTCTCCCCACCCCTACCTCCTCTGCCCTGTTTGTGTCTGCGGGTACCTGGGGCCCCAGCCATCCCACCCAGCTCAGAATCTGGCATGGGTTCTTCCTTCTGCCTGAAGCCGACCTCCCCCCACATTCCTCATCCAGTTGTGGGCCACCTGCTCTTTTGGTCCTTAGGGACTCAGAAGATCAAAAGGCTCAAAAAGCTGCCGATCACAGCACGAGACAGGAATCTTCAGACGCCACAAGCAAAGCTAACTTCCTTCCAACCCAGACGTCAGTCAAGTTCCACAAGCTGGTGGTGCAGGGTCAGGAGGAGGCTCAGGGCCACAAGGACACACGTGACGTCGTCAAAGGAAAGCCTGGCGTCACCAAATGAAGATGGCCCACTGGTCGTCCAGTCAAAGGGGCTCTTTCTGTGGCCCAAGCCTTTTCCCAGCTCCCCAAGGGACCACCCCATATGTCACTTGCCCGGACCCTCCTGGCCCCCTAAAGACCTAAGGAAAGATCGAAAGGGCCTCTTCGCCTGGGCAAGATGCGGCCCGATGAAATGACCAGACACCTCCCCTGGAGCGTGGGCGGGGCAGTCCCACTTTGGTGACAACGACTCTCCACAGCCACGGCTGCCCCCTAACTCATTCTCCGCCACCAGCTTCAAAGGGATCTTTCTCAACTGTGCGACACCTTCATCCACCCCCCC